TGTTGACTCTTTCAAGATCATTCAGACTGATGCCACCGAAATTGGCTATGGCGGTATCCTCCTTCAGAAAATATCTCTCAATTCTCCGGAACAAATTGTTCGATTCCATTCTGGAATTTGGAATAAGACCCAAGCCAATTACTCTACTATTAAAAAAGAGATTTTATCTATTGTCCTGTGTATCTCTAAATTCTAGGATGATATATTAAATCAGAAATTCCTGATACGGGTTGATTGTAAATCCGCAAAGGATGTTTTAACAAAAGATGTTAAAAATATTGCTACTAAACAAATTTTTGCAAGATGACAATCTATTTTAAGTATTTTCGATTTTGATATAGAATATATTAAAGGCGAAAATAATTATATCCCTGATTTCCTAACCCGTGAATTTTTGCAGGAACCTCATGGCAACTAGGAAACCCAGTTCATCTGGCACCTCCTCCAAAAATCAGGGGGGGAAAAAGGATAAACATGTCTTACCAAAACCTGAACCTGACTTGCCAATAGTCTTGTCAAACAGGTATTTGTCATTAGGAAACCCTAACCCAATGAGGCCAGTAGCCCCATTACCAGGGCCAATAGCCCAATCATCCTTAGTCATAAGGCCAGTAGTCATTTCAACTACTGTAAACCCATTGACTTTTACCCAAATGGCCCAAAGACCACCTACTAGTACATTAACCAACCCTTACACATCATCCCAATCTTTTGTAGTCCATAAAGGCCCAAGAGTTGATTATATCAAGGCTTTTACCCAGAATGTATTAGCCATTGAATTTTCTCATTCCCAGTACAAGGATCCAAGAGATCTGGTGAAAGCCTACCTCCCTAAAGGTTGGAATTTCATTCATGTTGATCTTGAGAAACCACATAGTTTTTACCAAGATATTCTCTTTTTCACAAAATCCATTCTTACCAGGCCCATACCAGATAAGAATGACCCATCTAAAACCCGTTATCATGCCTTAACAATATGCAACATTATTTCTGTTGAGGAATGAGGTTCTCATCCATCTTTACTCCGAGACCTTCCATTTCATACCAGACAATTTAATTACTATGACTACATTGAGTCATGGTCTAAAGTATTGCTCTACCAGAATGAGGATTTGACTCATTCCTGGTTCTTATCTTTTCATAAAGATTTCAAGAGCCGCATTCCTGCGTGGTTCCTACAGTGGTGGCATCAACACGGCCCCATTAATGAAATCTTTCTAGCTGATCTTCAAGATCAGATTAATATCTTCTCATCTGTTTACCGTCCTAGTAAACAAGAGAGTCCTATTCCCCTTTTACTAATTTTTATTTGCAGGTACAAAGTCTCATGGATTCTCAAATGGCAATGGGAAATTGTTGGATTCAATCTAGTCCGGCAATTTTATGCCAAATGGTGGCCCAGGTTCCAACAAGGCAACATTATTGCCCTGGTTCAAGAGGATTTTTCAGTCAAGGTACCAACTCCAGTAGCAGTCCCAAGTACTTTACTACCAGTCACTCCTGTTAAGGCCCAGCCTGCTCAGCAAGTTAGGCCCAGCCTTCCTGAAAAGGCAGCCTAGCTAGAGGAATCCTCATCTAAGGGTTCCAGTAAGAAATCCAAAAAGAAGTCCAAGGCTAAGCTCCTCTAGAAGCTCCTAGACCAGCTTAATTCGGATAGTGACTCGTCAGCATCATCGCAAGAATCTGTATCAGCAGAGCTCCCTCCAGGATATGCCCAAGATCCATTTGCAGCATTTGAAGATATTGATGACCTCACCCCAGATCTGGCACTCCCGTGAATTATTGTTTACATAAAATGGCTTCAATCACTACTTTCTTCTAATAAAGAAAGAAAAGTTGTTCATTCTATGTAAATCATAACATCACATTATGCCAACCGAATCTGCTTTTCCACCGAAAGATAGATTCCCAGGACAAAAGCAGGACCCACTAGTCCCTTCTGTCTGTCCTTTTACCATGGGTAAATGTATATTACTTCACTTTCCAGCCGAAAGCAGCAAAGTGAAATGCTTTACCTACAAGTAAAACAGAAAGGGAATAATTGAAGAAGATTCCCTACGGAGTCCCTTATCCCTATATAAGGCAACTCCATTCAGAAGAAGGAGCAGGTCGAATTTTAGCAAGTCTAAAATTTCAGACTATATTACAAGCCCTCTAGATCTTGTAAACATACCCTTCTCTTGTAAAGCCTTCTTCAATGCAAAAGAAGAGCTCAGAAGCCCTTTTTATTTACCGCTTATTTCCACTAGACCAGTAGTTCTAGTGTTGTAAGTATTTATTTTCTTGTAATATTATTTTCTGTATATTCCATTTATATCTTCTGATTCTCTGGTTCTATTTCCGCAGTTATTCATGTGTTATATATATATATATATATAAATATAGAACATGCATAGTTGAACCACACGAACGAATAGACAGACAGAGAGGCGTAGGCGATCTGGGTGATGCAGGAGAGAGAGAGAGAGAGAGAGAGAGAAAGAGAAAGAAGAAGAAGAAGAGAACATAATCGTGGACCGGTGGAAGCTCATGGTCACAGCGATGAAGACAAGACAACTCCCAAGCCCTAGATCGCTTGGATAATAGCTGAATTTGCTCAAATTTGGAGTGAAGGAGGTAAGTTACAGTAACTTTTTCAATTTTTGGTCTATATTTCTCTCTGTCTGGTGCCTTTCTCTCCTTCTTCTCTCTGTTTTTTTTTTTTTTGGCTTGGAGCTGTGAATTGCGACTTGTGGAATCTGCTTTTTTGAGCCCCTCTCTTTTTTCTTTTGGCTGGAGTGAACTAATCTTTCCACTCTTTCGACTGAAAATGGTCCGAAACAGTGCTATTTCGACCGAAATATTGGAATTTAGGAATTCAACCACTGTTTCGTATCAGAGTGTTGAAATTCCCAAACGTCCGAACGTGTCGACACAAGATTTTGATCCTTGAATTTATGATATATCTATATAATAAGAGAGTTAATATTGCCTGTCTTAAACTTTTCGCGGCTTAGATTATTTTAAAATTATTGATTAAACGATTGAAATTCCTCTTCCAAAATTTTTTTTGCCCAAAAATTTCAATAATCTTTTCATTTTACACGATTATCTGTTTGAAGTAATTATAATTATAATTCGAATTGAACTGAATTTGATTGTCGTCTATAAAATATATATTCTTACTCAAACTTAATTTTATTTAAATTTTACGAGAATTCAAGTTGAAATCAAATTGAATTTGATTGTAAAAATAATAAAGAATAATTAAATTAAAAAAAAAAATAGGGTGTCACTATGAAGGAGAACATATAAGAATTAGTTTGTAGGTTTTAAAAAAAAGTGTTAATTGAGTCGAACTTAAATTCAAATATCAGTTTAATGTGATTATGATTAAGATTCGAAATGAGCTGAATTTGAATGTCGAGTATAAAGTATAAATTATTGCGTAAACTTAAATTCGATTGAATTTGACGAATATTTAAATTAAACTTAAATAGAAACTGATCTTAATTTCTCAACAAATTTTTTTATATTTACGATAATTCGCGTGAAATTTTTGTATGATTTCCTCACAAAAATTACACGAACTCACACTGAAAAAATGATGCAGAGATAATGTTATGAACTTTAAGTAGAAACATGCAGAAAAATGAATAGTTATATTTTTTTTGAAATTTGAGATAAAATTTATTAAAAATGTTGAAATTATGGATGTTTGATCAATAATAATTATATATATTTTTTTTCAGATTTTTGAATTAATATGTTGTAGTAGTTGTAGCGTGACTTTCGTTATATAAATGTTTGATTATATATGTTATGCATATAGGTTGAACAATGTCAATTTGATCGCTATATTGTTAAAATTGTATTATACATTACCTTTATTTATGAACAAATATTTACAATTTTTTACGAATAATGTAGTGTTTTCAAGTACGGGTAATTATTAATAAAAAAATATGTTTGGTATTTGGTTAATATTTTATTGTGGTTATTTTGATTAATATTTGAATATCAAATACGTTGCTCCTCAAAATACAATTAGAGATGTTCTTGTTGGGACACACACAGAGTGATCTACACATACAAATACACACACAAAGGTAATTACACACAGACACACACAAATCCACATATACACCACACATACACACATGATTCAGTGGTTGAACTTGTCTTTTGGTAATTCGGAGATCTAAGGTTCAATTCATTCTCATATCCTATAAGGGCTAAACACCCTTATCTCTTTGAGGAGAAACTCTAGATCAACTCAAATCACGGTGCAAGCCTGTACGGCCTGTAACAAAAAAAAAACTCTATACTTGATAAAGGGCGATGATGTCGGACACAGTCAATTTTCATGTTCGTCTTTGCCTGAGATGAGGTGAGGAGTTTTGTCTTTGTTTTCGTCTGCGTCGGACACAATTGAGAGTAAGTTTGTTGTTCATATATTTTTTAACATGAAATCAGATTGAGAGATCCTTGATTGAATTACGTCGTGGCCTAATTATTATAATACTTGTATGTGATTGATTGACCCAAAGTCTAGTGTACATGAGGAAAACATGTTAACGTGGACTAATATTTATGCCAAACATTCTCTGACATCCTAAAGTTTTAGTTAATAGTTCATTATTTATTTGATCTAGGACGTAAAAAAGGCTCATTAGATCTGGCCCAAATCTTCTCCTCCAGAAGGCCCTGGGCCTTTCTTTTTCTCCCAGGATGGTTCAACAATCAAGACAGACAACACAGGCCTACACATGTGGGTCCAAAAAATCTGGGCAGGCCTGGTTAACCGAGATCCAGTTCAACAGTACAGGGTCCGACCCGCCTATGATAAAATACGCACGAATGCACAGAGTCTTTGCAGGGCAACCCAACTGGCAACAATCCGAAAAGCCCTGGTTCACTGGGCGAGCTGCGTATAATACCAAAATGTTTCAATTGAAGCGATTTTTAACCAGCCAAGTCTTTGGAGTCTCGAAGAATCTTGGGTTTCTCCACCTCCAATCATGGTATGTTACTCTCTCTCTCTCTCTCTCCACAAACCAAGCAATTATGTGTACAATTGATGTTGTGTTGGTTTGATTTTCAGGGTAAAGGTACGGGAAGCTTTGGTAAGAGGAGGAACAAGACACACACACTGTGTGTGAGATGTGACCGTCGTAGCTTCCACATCCAGAAGAGCAGGTGCGCCGCTTGTGCCTATCCTGCTGCTCGGATCAGGAAATGTGAGCTCTCTGTCTCTCTCCCCTCTTCGTTCCATTTCCTTGGTATTCCGTGTCGATGTAGTTTTTAATGTTCATTGTTTGATTCCATTTTCTTGTTTTGGTCAATTAAGGGGATTCAGTGTCTAAATCCTGAGAAAATGTCAGAAATTTTTTAATTAAATTGCTGGATGCATTAAGGTTGTGTTTGGACGTCCCTTCAAATGAGTCATTGTTGTAATTTTGCATTTAAGCTCAGGTCACATATAAGATTTGTTATGGGCTAATGTTGGATGTGACTGATTATTTTGGAGGCTATTCAACAGTCTCAAATGGACTCGGCTGCCGATATTCCACTTAAAATCATTTATATTGCACTGTGTCTTTAGGCTTGGATTACCACTAGTAAGAGATAAATTAAGCCATAATCGTCTTAAGTGGTTCGAACATATTTGTGGAAAACTTAGTAATGCACTACTGAAGAGAACTGATTTGATATATTGGATGTTAATGCAAGAAGTCAAAGGTACACTGAAATTAACTTTGAATGAGGTAGTGTTATAGCTTAGCCGAGAATGCGTCGCTGGGTAGAGTATAATGGAGAAACATGATTCTTGTAGCCGGCCTAAAAAAGTTGGGATGAAAACTTTGTCGGGTTGAGTTGATTTTTTTGTGGCATGGACTTTGGACTATATAAGAAATTACTGGTGGACGATGAACTCCTATTATGGACTTATTTTTCCTTCATTTTTTTTGTTTGATAAGTAACAAATTTTGTTAAAAATAAGGAATAGGTAGTAAAAGAAAAGAATAAGGGTGGACAAGAAGTCCAATCCTTATGCTAACAACCATGACAGTCCCACAAAGGCAACAAGCCTAAACATAACGTTCATCTTTCAACTACAAACAGCAGACAAACTTCCCAAACTGTTGAATCAATGCTAAAAAAGAAGCTAGTAAATGGATACGATTTCATAAACTCTCAACCACTCGCACTTATCCTCAAAGATTCTTGGTCGCAAAGCCTCCAAAGAGTGACACTCTTACTTTTCTTTCCAAAACCGTGGAAGTCTACATAAAACATAGATGAAATGGACCTTGGAGCCACCAAAGAGTGTCCATCCACCTCAAAACACTTATTCCACATAAACCAAGTAATCGGGCAATGTAAAAATTAGTGATCCACACTCTCACAATCATTCCTGTACATAGCACACTGTTATGGTAGTAAACATTTAGTTGGTCTTCTTTTTTGTAGCAAATCATTTGTGTTGATCTTACCATAAGCAGCCACATATACACAAACTTGTACTCTCAAAGTCACCTTTGCCTTCCAAATTTTAAATGATGGATAAAAATTTGGGAGAGAAGAATCATTAATCAAGCAATCAAAAAATGATTTGCAAGAAAACAATCCCATTGAATTGGGTATCTAACATCTTTTATCCACAGAACTATGATGCAAAGATATATGACTTGGCAAAGAAAGAAGGCCGACCAACTCCAAAGTTTTCCTATCATTAAGATTTCTACGAAACCCAAAATTCCAAGACATTGGATAGGAATAAGATCTAATCTTTGAAGCAATACGAGCATATGGTGATAGCAAGAAAGATTGTATAGATGAGAATATAAACTAGCCAAGGATGACTCACCAAAACTATAAATCCTCTAAAAACCAAACTTGCCACCCACTACATATTTGGTCTTTTGAGAAAAGGAAGGTAATCCCAAGCAATGAATATCCAGGAGTTTCAGAAACTACCCCTTTCAACCTCATTAGCATCCCACTCTTTGGCCTATAAGTAATATTTACTTTTAATAGCCATGTGGCACAATGAGTTTTGCTCTAACAGATACCTTCAAAGCCATTTCCCAACCAGAGCTATATTCATATTCATAGTATTTAAATTATTCACAGAAAGACTACCTTTAATTCTAGTCCTAGACATAATCTCCCTGTCTAATCAAATGATCTCTCCCCTCAGCACTACCCTCCCATAAAAAACCTTTCCTTGTCCTCTCAATCCTTCGAGCCACCAAGAAAGCAACTTAAAGAGAGAGAAACAAATTGGAATACTAGTCAAGACCGATTGAACTAATGTAAGCCTTCCTAGATATAAAGGCTTTTCTTTGTCATTTAATGTTGATTTATCTGCTATTTCAGCTATATCTGGTTATCTTTAATTTGCTTAATTCATAATATCCTTAGTTCATTTAATATCCAGCTACTCATCAACGTTTGTTACTGATTTGGGTATGTGGTTACCATCAATCATGAGTGTTGGCTTTTCTGACTGGAGATTCTTCTCTGCTTAATATGAATGAGTAAATACCCTGCTTTCCTCTTCTATGTGAGGAAATATTAATTATTTAAATTCCCTGAATTTGGTTTCAGATAACTGGAGCATGAAGGCAATCCGAAGGAAGACCACTGGAACTGGTCGAATGAGGTACCTCCGTCATGCTGCTGTCAGGTTCAAGAGCAATTTCAGAGAGGGTAAGCCATTTTCTTTTGTACATTATTCCTGCTAATTATACCATTCTGTTCTAATGTATCACAAGTGTTGTTTAATTTTTAGTGATTAATTTACCCTCTTTTTTTGTGGTTAGGTACTGAAGCAACTCCGAGAAAGAAGGGTGCTGCAGCAGCTTCACAAGGTTTTTGAAGAACAATATTATTTTGTTTGTTTGTCTTATAGGATAGAGTGAATGATCACTTCTTTGTCTTAAAGATGGAAACTAAAGAAATTTTTTCTGAGCACTTTAACGTACAAAACATCAGTATAAATAACACTTGCTTACTTTGGTACGGACACCATTTGTTAGAAGATGTTTGAAACCTGGGGTTTGATGCCCTAAATGTCGCATGGTGGAAGTCCTAGCCAGGAATTTAAGATCACAGCAAATAGGTTATGGACATTTGGGCTACCGTTTTGCCTTTGGACCGATTTAGTGGTGGTAACTGATTTCTCGTATGTATCGGCCATTATGTGATGGTAATGTTGCATACTGGTTCGTATGATATTGCTGTTACATGGCCGCCCTTACTGTCAGTTTGGCCGATTTGGCTATCTGTATTTGCCCAAACACAACTTATGTCATCTCAACTTCTCCCATTTCTTTACCTTTTCTGTGTAATTGAAGATCCGAGTGGCCCAACTCAACCGAGATCTATGCGATTTAAGCAGGACTGCATGAACTCGTTCGGCTTTGCAGCATGGCTGCGCGGCTCATCATGCCTCAAATTTCTTCCTTTTCTTCGTCTTTTTCCCGCAGGTAAAGCTCCGAATGCCTGGCCCAGAGCTCAAGAAGTGTAGGTTCTGCATTACGGAATTGTGTGACATGTTTGGCGGAGGATATAGTTTCCATCTCCGTACCCGCTTAAAAAGCCTTCATCCATTCCCGGTCCATCTCTGTTAATAGTATAATTTTTATCCTCATTCCCGTCCACGGGTAAATTTCTAATCTTCACTCCCGTCCCTATCCCTTCTTACCGCTGTATCCGCTCAAGCGCAAGCCCAATTTCAAGCAAATGTAAGTTAGGATTAAACGTTGAATTAGGAGATAAAAAAAATACTATCAATTACCTTAGAATTGTTGCACAATATGCCTAAAGGGTCATAGGGCAGCATTAACAATAGTTGAGAGAAAATTTCATGAAAAACAGTTCTAACTAAAAGAAAGAAAGTAAATCAAACAATATCGTCCTTTGAGATACTCAATAAGCCTAAACTAAAAAATACTAAAAAAATAATATACATAACTATAATAATTGTATTTTAAAAACGCAAGAGTTTAAGCAGTTTTGCAATGTGTAGATTACATGACACATGGAGACTTACTGAAAGTAGATTAAGAAGAGAGGCAGTGAATAAGAAGAAAAGCATAGAAGACTTATAGAGAGAGTAAATTAAGGCTTTACTGGGATATATATATATATATATATATATATAACAAGTAATGGGGGCGGGGCGGAGATAAGGATAAATCCATCTCTATCTTCAGCACAAGTTTATACGGGTATTCCTGTATACATCCACCATCCAATATGTATAATCCATATCCGGTCCAAATAGGACAAATTTAAACGAATATTCATTTTTTCTCGGTCCCCTGTCATCCCTAGTCTTGAGTTACCATTGGGGTTGCATGTTTTACAGTTTTGTCCATAGGCGAATGGGTACAAAAATGACTTGACAATTACTTGGTCATTCTTGATCAACAAACAAAAGTGAAGAACTTACTCGGTCACTGACGATGAACTCGGCCCTTGTCAAATAAGAAGCTAACTATTCCTACATTCTCATCTTGATGTTATTCGGACTCGGACAGATAAATATTCACCAATTTTCTAAACAAGTTTTGTACATTTTTTTTCTTCGAACCGTTCTCGATATGAATCAGACTGCCTGTTAGATATTGAATCATAACCATCCAAATTCATGTTGATTATAATCATCAAAAATCACTCACCCAATAAGTTTCTTCAAAATGCAAACTAAATTGAACTGTGAAAAGGCAACTATTTGAAGCTTCTATAAAAATACATCGTGAATAATATCATTGCAAACATTTTGCCCTCTTCAAAACCAAAAAAACGTAAGACATCTAGCATCGGTCGTCATGGTATCTCACTCGGATAAAGGTCAGCCTGCAAGCTACTCGTGCTCAAGCTATGCCATCAACCTTTTACTCTCCCTAACCCCTCCCCTTCTTTTCTGCTTCCTCTTTCCTTTTCATGGCCGTTGGAGCTGGTTTTAACATGACAGATTTGCAACAAGACAATAGATTTCTTGAGGTGGTAATAAACACTCACTAGTCAAGCCACATGCCACAAGCCACAAGCCATGCTTTACTCCCTTCTGTAAATACAAACATGTATTGAAATTCAAGTTAACTTCAAAAATTCTGCATCAACTGCAGCCATCTCAATTTTATGAAAAAGCTTATTTCATGATTAAAGTTTTTCCAATGTCAAATGGTCAGGCTTGGGCTGAAACTATATCTGAAATCTATGTCAAAAATTTCAGTCACAGATCAATTTGTTTGTAAGATGAACTGACAACAAAGAAAAGGTTTAGTGTAAACTCACCTATAAGGGAGAGACAGGAAGACCTAATTTGTATTTTCTAATGCTTGAGCCAGTAGTTACGTAGCTGAGACATGTGCAGCAGTATCTCATCTCGACCTTGATTAGTAACACTACTGGTCATAATCCAAGGTGGCACTGTTTGGAAGAAGTCGCGTATCAACTCCTGAAAATCTTGCACATTTTCTTCGGGTCTTTTCCCTCCATTCTTTTTCTTTTTGCGCTTGTCGCATTTGGTAAAGATTAATGTCATAGGAATCTGAAAAACAAGAATACATGTACACTTCAATCACCAAAACCTATGAGATGATAACTCTGTTCAACAAGTGGAAATAAAACACTTCATAATAAAGCATAAGAAACATTCTTAGATTGGCTGGCTCAAGGAAATCCAACATTTCACAAGAACAAAATCATGAATGAAACATTTTCATCCTTTTTGAGAAAAAAACAGATGACCACATAAAAACCGCTGAATAACACTTTCATGGGTAAACCCCCGCCGCCCCTTGCGGCCGATTCCCATGGATGAAATGAACAGACAAGTTTACTGAAGTACTGCAAAGGCAGAATAAAGACAATCACTTGTCATCCAATTTCTCTGCTAAAATAATTACCTGATTCTGACCCAGCCAACTTGCATATTCGAGATCGATTGGCTTAACAGGAATGCTAGCATCTATGAGAAGGAATACTGAGACCAAAGTTGACCGGTTTAGGAAATAGTCTTTAGTGAACTTGTGCCAATCTATTCGAAGTTCCTGTGGCGCAGCTGCATACCTGTTCCGAGTTGTATCCATTCGTTAAACTGATAAGTAACTTGAAAATTCAACTTACAAAATCTGGTTCAATAGGGTGAACTTAAACTGAAAACCACACACCTTATATTCTTTAATATGCCAACAATGTCAGTACTCAGTATAAAGCAACAACATCAATGGATAACAGGGGGAAGAAAAGTACCACAATAAAACATCTAAGACAAACATTTACCACATTTGGTACTATTTTCTGACCGTTTTATCTTATGACTCCAAACTTCCAACCATGTCCTGTGGTAGACAGGTCTCAAAACTAACAAACTAAACCAAAACAGCTGAGTTTACAATCATCTGGAGTTTTGGATGATGAACTAATATAAAACTATGATTAGCAAGGACACTATCATGGAAATGCGTTGCAACAAAGGACATCGGATAGTACGCAGTAGCATGAAATTGTAGAACCTTATGTTTTCACCTCAATGGCACTACCAGAATAGCTATCCACGAACAAAGTTCACAAATAAAATGGCCAAGAAATAGAACAGGTTTTGGAAAGTTGACATGAATTGAGGAAACATTATACACAAGTGAATTAGCTGAAGGAAAGAATACAAATATTGCCGCAATACTGTGTGGCAGCATTGTGCTGTGTCCAAGTTCATGGCTCATAGAATTTGCCCTGGTGCAAAGCAAACTGTCAAAATGCTTATCAACTCATAAGTCATGACATGACGACTGTTGGGGAATTTTAAGAACACTATGGAGATTTAAAAAACCTGAAAGTCTTTCAGTCCCCGAATAAAGTATATTTTTACTCTACACAGATTTTCAAAGATAAGAAACATTGCTGCCAGCTTAGCAACTGGGACAATTTTTCCATTTGCATAGTGGTAAGTTGCTCAGAAAATATGGTCCAGTTTACACTCATCATGAATGTCCACTATTACCCCTCAACACATTACAATAATGCGCCTCTAAAATCCACATTTCACCACTGTTTTACACAAATTCAAATCTACCATACTTGTTATTCCATTTTTGTTATCCTAAATCAATTCCTGCCGTTCTATTTATACCCACAAACCCTAGTCTTCCTTAAAAGATTCATTACCATCCATCCAAAAATCACCTTCCTTTCTCCAACACTAGCTTCTTCTAGATAACATTGCTTTAAGAAATGTTGTGTAGAAGAAGAGGAAGAAAACATAATAAGAAGAAAAAAAAAAAGGAACGAAAAATTATTTAAAAGAAAAACCATATAAGTTATAGGTATTCTCTAAGCCCTGAACTTTTAAAATTCCCTCTCCTTTTCTCACTTAAACTGGTAGATACTAAAGTTATCATGAATCAAGTAGGATAAGTGGGAAACATCATGATGAGTCTTAACGAACACGAACCAATTAGGGAATTTTGTGGATTAGTTATAATCAATCCTCAAATTAATCAGAAGTTCTACAGTTTTGATGCTTCTGAACGCATAAGGTTCTGTAAGTTAAGACCAAGACAATTATACAGTGCCAGTTTTCCGAAAATCATTCAGTAATTGTGTCTACATTTAAACTTAAGGAGGAATACTGAATGAAAGTTTTAACAGTATCAGTCATACCCATATCCAGGTAAATCCACCAGGTACCAACTATCATTGATTCGAAAATGGTTAATGCACTGGGTCTTCCCTGTAAGTGAAAACAATATTTCTCTTGAGTCTTTCCATGAAGCAGACTAATAGAGAAAACTATTTCATTTGACAAATTTAATTCAAAATTCCAAAGTAAGTATACTTTGAATCAGTGTAGTACAAAATTTCAGCAGAATTACCAGTATGTAGAAAGCTCAATCAGATAGTCAGTTACAAGCAACATTAGTGTGCAAGAAAGAAAATTTGTTATACATAAGAAAATCTCATCAATACTAATTTGATCTGCTCTGGAGTCCATTATGAGCTCAATGATATGTAGTTTTCAGAAATTCTTCTAGAGTTGAAAAAGCGTTTATTTTTAAAATTTTAGAATCCCTCAAATCAAATATGATGCCAACAATTTTTTGCCTCTTTAAATCAATGACTATGAATATAACCTGTTCACAAGCTATCATTCAAATAGCCCTTCAATCAAATATGCCTAACATCTTTGCCCACTATTAGTAATTTTATAAAATTCAATCCTAATAGCCAGTGACAGTCTCCTCATATTTAGTAAACCATTAAAAACAATTTAAGCTTTCTAGCCAAATTCTATTAACTAAAAGCTATTTCCTGCTGAACAACAATACAACAACGATAACAGTAAAGGCCAGGCCATGCCATACGAATTACCAGGCTTCTTCGAGGTGAGGGCGAGCTTCTTCCGCCTCACCAGTGAATTGAGCAGCGACGATTTCCCGACGTTCGACCTCCCGACGAGGGCAAACTCCGGCAACCCATCAGAGGGACAATCCTCAGTCCGTACACTGCTCTTCACAAACTCTGCTTGGACCACCTGAGCATCCCTGACATACTTACTGAGCACAATGTTCGAACCCTTCAAAATCCTCGTGCTAAGTGGAGTGGTTTCGGACGAAATATCAGTATCCGGTGGGACAAAGAGCTTTTCAACTGAAATTTCTATGTGGGTATCTTCTGGAAGTGAAGGATTTTCGGTGGTTTGAAGAAGGGTTTGTGAGGGAAGAGTTGGTGTTGAAGAGAAGTGAGATATTGGGTGAGATTTGGGTGTTATGAGTGAGAAGGAGATGTGAAGTTTGGGTTTGGGGCTGAGAAAGAGCTGGGTGTAGAGAGAATGTCGAGTAATGAAGATGGGGCAGTGGCAATGAAATCTCGGAAGGTGAGAGAGAATCATCTCTTTCGACCCGTGTGTGTGAGAGAGAGAAAAAGAGAGAGATCAATGGCACTGGTGAAGGGCTATGGTCTTTCTCTTTTACTGTGACACACTACACTTCGCACACTCTGTATCTTCCAAACCATGGGGCTGACAATGAAGATGAACCGATGATGAAGGCAGTATCGAAAGTATCTCAGCACTACAGTGTAAAAGAGAAATGGGATATTTTGACTTTAACACTTTATCCCCCTACATTTTAAAAATCTACATGTAGACCCTTATAGTTCTGGATTAAATTACAACAGCTAATTGAATTATTTTAGAAAAAAGAAAGAGATTTATTTTATGGGGTAAAGTCTTAAAAAGTGTATGTGTAAGAGAGGAATATGAAAACAATGAAGGGTATTTTTGAACTTGATTTTGAATATGTTCAAGTGAGGCAAAGTATTGTTTGGACTTCTAATTTTTCCTTGCATAGTAGTCATGCCAGGTAATTGTAACTATATTAGATCGTAATAAAAGAATGCACAAAATCAATGTTGTTAATCGTTTAATGAATAGATTAAGAAAGAAAAATTGGTACGAGCTTAGTTAATACAATAGTCTAACGATGACTTATTCACGATTTATTGTATCTTATTTTTTTTTTTAGTTTAAACAATTTATCTTATTGGAATGAATTCAAAAAATAAATGAGACTCTTGTGGTCAATAAATTTAGGTGATTTTCTGGCTTGGTAATTAGCATGTAAAATTGCAATTATTGTATCTTGGTTCAAGGTTATACTTAACTCATCTAAGCTCAATGCGATTCAACTTAATAATTTTTTTTTTGGATCCAAGAAAAGTTTAGTAGTTTGGAAGTGAATTAGTGATAATATTTGGCAATTTTATGGGGAATTCAGAGTAATTTTCCGAAGGTACAACCTTTGTCGCTACACAAACAATCTCTAAACTCTATGCAACAAGATCCATTACACTGAATCGCTTCAAGATCCAGTGGAGCAGCAAAGAATCTCTTTCTCTCTCTCTCTCGTGGTTGCGTGGAGCTGAGAGTCATGGCTCCTCCAGCTCAATCTCAGCGATCTCCTTCACCTTCTCAACCCTCCGGGTAATAACTCTCTCTTTCTCTCTCTCCACATACTCCAGGAGGAGAACTCAAGAAAGATACTGGAAAAGTCCGTAATCGCCAAACACTACAAACAAGCACACACTCCCAAGAGAACTATTCATCCTAAATTAGCCCAGAAAAATAATGAAATCACGCTCAGTCTGCATTGAATTATTCAAAATTGACTGAAAAATTCATTAGATTCGCATATACACCCCCCCCCCTCCATGTACTGTACATGGAGCTTGAATTATGCTCAGTTCAGCAACAATTGTTTATTTTGCACTCACATGTTGTTTGTGTATAGAGCTTGAATGATCCTGAGGTTACCAACAAAACCTCAAATTCACCCATAATCTCTACATTGATAAACATATATGTACTGCTATGTGTTCATAAAGATCAGAGAATCTTGAAATCGAGAAAATGATCAGATTCTCTGTCTCATTCCCTCGCACGGGAACACATGAATGCACTAAATCTGACGATCTTCCGAATCCTAACCCTAATTTTGATTCTACCAGAAAAGGGGAAGTTTCAGATCTGAAATTGCAACTCCGGCAGCTTGCAGGGAGCCGGGCCCCAGGGACAGATGACTCGAAGCGAGAGCTCTTTAAGAAGGTGATCTCACATATGACTGTCGGGGTCGATGTGTCATCAGTGTTTAGTGAAATGGTGATGTGCTCGGCAACATCGGACATTGTTCTCAAGAAAATGTGTTACTTGTATGTTGGGAATTATGCGAAGCACAATCCTGAACTTGCTCTGTTAACGATTAACTTTCTTCAGAGGGATTGTAAAGATGAGGACCCAATGATTCGGGGGCTGGCATTGAGGAGTCTGTGCTCACTTCGTGTAGCCAATTTGGTGGAATACTTGGTGGATCCATTGCGATCAGGGTTGAAAGATGGAAGTAATTATGTGAAAATGATTGCTGTGGTTGGGGTTTTGAAGTTGTATCACATATCTGCATCAACTTGTGTGGATGAGGATTTCCCTGGAACGCTTAAGCATTTGATGCTTAATGACCCAGATGCTCAGGTCAGGATATTTTCACGTCCACAAAGCTTTGGCAGCTAGATGAATTACTTGTGCAAATTCTCAACCAGTGGCCAATCTAGCTGATCCATTCATTGCATTAAAGAAATTGAAAAATAATATTGTAGCCTCTAATGCATTGTGTGGTGAGCTGCCAAATACCCTTGGAGTAATTCACAACAGCATAGTCCAAGAGGTGTATTTTTGTGGTTCTATCTAGGGCGAGACATGTCAATTCCATTAACCCTCATCCATCAAGTTGGTATAAGTGCTATCTGGCATAGATGTTTAAGTAATGTAAAACTTTAGTTGAAATTTTTATCGACTTGTATGTTAGATGTCAGTGTGATATATACTCAGTTTACTGCAGTATCTTTTTGGGTATGCTAATTTTTTGTCAAAGTTCAAATGGTTATTGTATGGAAGTTAATACTTATTTCATTATTTGTTTTATTGATCACTGTATTATCTTTTTCATGTCAGGTAGTTGCAAACTGTTTATCTTCCCTTCAAGAAATTTGGAGCTTAGAGGCAAGTAAATCCGAAGAAGCATCCATAGAAAAAGAAGCCTTGCTAGGCAAAGAAATTATATATTACCTTTTGAATCGGTATGATTTTTGTCACAAGCATCAGAATATGAAAATCATGTCTTGGCATGATTTTCTTGCAGGTTCAGTTGCTTTGGGTAATTATTGTGGCTTGATAGGATGCTAAGAATTTTATTGAAGTGCTACTTTCCTGAAAATGTGGTCTTGTTAAAGGCCTTTATTTCGTTGCATGCTTTATTATATTGCACACTGATTTATACATTATCAGGAGTGTGTCTATTGAAACTAGTAAATGAATTTGAATTGCTTTCACGATCTTTATTGAAAGAAAACTCGTCTGTATTGTTCCTTGGTTGATGAAACAATTGGCAATAAGGGTTGACAAGCAAATTGCACAAGTCATGAGGACATTTTCTTTGTTCATGAATAAGAAAAAATGTGTGATTTCAGCAGAATGGTGACCATGCAGCAAGTTTGGTAATCATAGGCACAAAATGTTGCATTCTTTTCTATTTTTTTCCTTTCATATACTTTTTTGTTTTACTCAGTATTATTCTTGGCCACTTATTGTTTAAAACCCATTGTAAGTCTTTGGACAAGCATGATATATTAAGTAGTAATAAGGTGGTGCCGAGGTTGGTTGAGGATTTTATTGCTTAGTTGGAGTGGATCTTAGATTGGGAAAGAGTTGACTCTTAGACTTTGTGAACCATTTGGTGGGAGAGAAACAAGAGGTCTTTTGAGGATTTGGACTTTGGAGTTCCCTGTTTTAAGCTATGTTCTGTTTAGTTCATTCTTTTCTTTTTGCTCAATAAGGTCCATCCTGGATCTTAGTAGTGTCTTTTGTTGACTTCGGTTGATTTTTGGATTGGATCATTGGTGTACATATTGTTGGATTGGATCATCGTTGGAGCATAACCCAAAAGGGGGGAAAAAGTTATGAAAGTCAGATGTATGAAATGTGCATGAATATCAACTATCGAGACCTATGGCAACCACGGATCAGGGATCCACTTAAGAATGAAAATGCAGACTTGGGTCCTAGAGGCATTATAGCGGAACTCATCATCCAGCAGCTTTAGAGATGTCTTTACAGTCTGCAGATACAAACCTCTTGGGATATCTGAAGATATACAGTCCAAACACCACTACTTTACGATGAACAATTGAGCTTGTATAGTCCTTGACTAACGAAGAACACTTCTTTTATTTGACCTCGTTAAGACATAAGAACAGTAAGATTAAACCGTGGGGAGGGAGGGCTGCAGTGAGAGTTGTAACCACAGCAGAATCTAAGGGGCTAATTGGAAATGGGCTTCCAGAATAATATTTTAAATTCTGGAACTTCCTCTTCTTTTTTCCTTTCTTTGTTATCCACCTTCTCTCAGGGTGCACGTAGGGAAATTTTTGTTCTTCTTAAGAAATGCAACTCTGGTTGCTGAAGCTTTGAGATCGGGAAATTGCACATATCTCTTTGGAGAATATTTTTTCATTATCCTCTCTCTCTGTCCCCGCTCCCCTTTTCTGCTAGCAGTTCTTTGCCTCTTGGATATTTTCCATGAAACAAGAAGGCCTTAAACTTTCCTTCGTGATTATTGCAGGATCAAGGAATATAGTGAATGGTCGCAATGTGTAGTTCTTGAATTGGTTGCTAAATACATACCCTCCGATAGCAATGAGGTCTTTGACATTATGAATCTTCTTGAAGATAGACTTCAACATGCAAATGGTGCTGTTGTCCTAGCAACCATTAAAGTGTTCCTACAGTTGACATTGTCTATGACTGATGTCCATCAGCAGGTAACTATCATCATGTTCTTTTAGTAATTTGTCATGCTGGTTAATGTTGAAACTTTATATTTGTTAAGAGAGCTTGTATCCCACATTGAATAATTAGGACCAACAAGGTTGGTTTATATACTTGAGGGCTCACTTCACCCATTTTCAATTGATTTTGCATTGGATGCTCTAACAAGAGATCAAAGTTGGGCCTTGGGTGTTCAGTGGGCGAAGTCTCTTACCCATTTGAATTTTCCGGTATGCATAGTTGTTTTTTTATTTTTTGACCCCACGTGCGAATCCGGGTCCCACATGAGGGAGGGTGTTATAGAGCTTGTATCTCACATCAAATATTTAGGACAACCAATGTTGGTTTATATACTTGAGGGGCCACTCCACCCATTTCCAATTGGTTTTGGGTTGGATTCTCTAACAATATTGACCGGATCTCTATCATTGGTTTTATTTGCATTTTCACCATTCTTTGCAGGCATGCAATGTTGTTGATTTACAGTATCATGAATCTATTTTTAATGAGTTACTTTTATGCTTTTTATCTCCTTGAAATTGGAAAGCCTCGTTATAGAATATTTGTATTCATTGTTTTTCTGGTTTTTTGAAATCTATATGAATCCTTGGCATATTTCCAAACTGCTTCTGAACTTCTAAAATGTCATATATGCTTATGTTGATTAATAGCCAGTCAAGGGAATCCTCTTAGCGACGAAAAGGATGATGAGGAAACAGAATTAAAGAAAGCATCATGAAGGGAAAAAATTGCAGCAGAAAGTTCTTGAGTGCTGTTGATAGTAGATGGTTGGGAACTAGATGAGGAAAGGAGTTGACAAAATTAGGTTGTAAATATGTAGATGGATGCGTACAATTTCGCCTGTACCTGGATCAGAATTACTGGTTTTAGTAGTTTGCTTGAAGCAAAAGAGTTGGCCGAGATCGGCCTTCTTATATATGTCCTATGTTTAGAGCAAGAGATATTGCTCTTGATAAACTGACACAGAGTACCCCTGGTGAAGAATTTTTCTAACCAGTTGATCACTCACAATGAGCCATACTGTGATGCCGAAAAGCCTAGGATTTCTTTTATGGTATATTGAGGTTTTTTCCTGCAATTTTCAAAGATGAACTTCGAGGAATCAATTGGTTGAGAGTACAAGGACTTGGTGCCTTTTTATCAAAAAAAAAAAAAAAAACAAGGAGTTGATGCCTACTGTCTCAAGATTATATCATGCTTCGGTGGCCACAACTTTCTCCCTCTTCAAACTAAGCTGCAACCCTGAAAATAACAAATTCCTACACCACCACCGCTAGGGCATGCTTGGATATCTTGGCGAGGGACAATCGACAATGGCCACCTCTATCTTCTTTTAAGTTAAATTTGATATCCTGACCTTGTTGTTTGTAATTGAACTGACAAATTATCCAGTTTCTTCGCAAAAAAATGAAGCATGTATAACCCACTAAGAACAGGATTTTTTCTCCCATCCCCACTGTTATGGAGAAAGGTCAGAGAAGGATGTACTATTGGAGGCTGTCCCATGCTGAAATCTGCCATAAGAATAAGTTGGGCCTTTAACCTGTCTGTTGCTTCTTGCAATGTGTATATACAACAAAGCATAAACACCTCTCCCAGTGCTTGCAAATCGTATTGGACATGTAAGAGATACGGAACCATTCCGGACATGTGGAAGTGTCTGGATATTTTTGAAACTTGGACACGATGGGAACACATTTAAGATGCAATTTTAAAATTTTGGAAAAAAAAGAGGAGTCAAATTTGAAATGTAAACGCCTTTTGTATAAGTAGCAACTGAAATAAAAAACTAGTTAAGAAGAAAAAAGGAAGAAGTTGCGAATTCACAATTATTAGGTGTAAAAAAGGGTAAATAGGAAGATGAAAGAGAAGAAACTGGAACTGGTATCTCACACGACATAACATCCGATGACCTGTCATGTTCCAGTGGCCTCTTGTAATTGTTGATGAGATACCTTTCACGCTAAAGTCCTTATTCTCTCTTATTAAAGTGTTTCCTTCCATTTTGGTTCCATGACTTTGTGTTGATCTTGCAATGATAATGTGAACCTGAGTAATTTCTGAGGGTACAGATGGTTAATGTTGTTGTACTTGATTATAAATTGTTAAGTTTTTTTATATCTGGTTTGAGTTAAACAAGTTTAATCATTTATTATATGTTCATAATTCATGTGCATTATTGTATCCTTGCTGTGTCCTTTTTTTTTTAATAAACTGTTTGGTTGTGTATGTCCTATGTCCTTATCCGTACTTCTTAGTTTGTAGACTATATTTGGAAACCAGAGATGAAAATATATAGGGCTATCTTTCAGAAATTATTGCGTTATAAAGCAGTCTAAATCATACTTACCACATCCTGTCAAAACCCCAAAGTCTTCAATTTATAATTACTACACCACGCTGCTTGTTACCATTCATAGTGATGCATCTTTGCAACCTTGCGTGTGTACGAGTTACTTTATTGCCAGCTGTTACTGGGCTTCAGACCATGCTAACTGCTTTATGAGAGCATCGTAGTCAAGAAGTATTCTTTTCCTGTTATGTGGTACAATTACAGTTCTGTTGGTATTGATTCTATTGAACATATGCTTTATGTCTGCATTCCTTTTTCTAGTTCTTGTGAAATACTGCTGCCATCATGTTTATCTGTTTAAATTTGCTGTATTATTTTATGGCTCGTACTTATCATCTTGGAGGCTACTGAACTCTATTGTTTCACCTGGCGGCTATATTTCAGATGTTGAATAATAATGCGAGTTCTTTTTTAGGTATATGAACGTATCAAAGCCCCTCTGCTCACACTAGTGAGCTCAGGCAGTCCAGAGCAATCATATGCTATATTAAGCCATCTGCATCTTTTGGTGATGCGTGCACCTTTCATTTTTTCTTTGGACTACAAACACTTCTATTGCCAGTACAATGAACCCTTTTATGTTAAGAAATTGAAGCTTGAAATGTTGACAGCCGTGGCAAATGAGAGCAATACTTATGAAATAGGTGAGTAAATACCATGCCAGTTATCCATTTAATGATCCACTGAGGAAGTTGACTTGAGCTTCGTTTTATCCTGTTTGGGGACCCATTGTCTGGCCACAAGATTGTCAAGAATGACCGACTGATGCATGACTTTTTTTTTGAGTCCTTTTCAGTGACAGAACTATGTGAATATGCTGCCAATGTTGATATTCCCATGGCACGGGAATCCATTCGGGCCGTTGGGAAAATAGCACTGCAGCAGTATGATGTAAATGCCATTGTTGATAGGCTCCTTCAGTTTCTGGAGATGGAAAAGGACTATGTGACTGCTGAAACTCTGGTAATTTATTTACCTCTGCATCCTAGATACTTGGAACTAAAAAGTTGATACAGGAAATTATTGCCTAAATGCCCATGAAACAATGCTCTCAAGCCATCCAAGTAAGATGATGTTGGTCAGTTCCTTCATGCAGGTGCTTGTGAAAGATCTCCTAAGAAAATATCCGCAATGGAGTCACGATTGTATAGCAGTTGTTGGGAACATCAGCAGCAAAAATGTTCAAGAACCCAAAGCCAAGGCAGCTCTTATATGGATGTTAGGGGAGTATGCTAAAGACATGCAGGACGCTCCCTACATATTAGAAAGTATGATTGAGAGCTGGGATGAAGAACACTCTTCAGAGGTAACAAAGTTGCATGCTCTCATTTTAGTTCTTATTTTTTTTTTTTTTCGTATTTTGGGTGGGGGTATTCTAGCTTTCTTTGCTTGGGCCTCTTTTGGCCCCTTTGCTTTTCAACTGTATGTTGTTCCCAAATGCACTATGCATGTGGAATCCTTCTCCAAGTGGTCTGAACCCTTTTGTTACAGCCTCGATCCAAGGCTCTAAAAGCAATTTTAAGATTGACAGAGGCCTTACATGAATTCATGAAAGTAGTGGAGATGAAATCTCAGAACTCCATCACTTATCAGACAAGGGAAGTGCAAGTGGTTTGCTGATTTGCTGGCCGCCTCACACATTACACATTGTTTTATGAATCAAAAGATCCCATGTCAAACAGTTACTTTTCCTAAGTATACAGAGAGAGCCACCTTGTGGGAGTTGAGGGATTCCACATTTTTGGTTGAAAATTCCAATCATTACATGGACACATAAAACCTCACAATATTATTCAGACAGCTGCTCCAAATTGTTACATTTTGTATCCGGATAGAGCTCAATATCATCGGGTTGTTGGGATAGGGCAGACGACTCTTACTTTTGTTTTTCAATGTTGTGTTCCATGCATTGCAAGTTATTTTTCCATTACAGTAGCTTTCCTGCTCTTCCGTTGGAAAAAAAGATTCAGATATGGGAAAGTGTGAGTCTAACGAGTTGGGTTCAACTTTCCAGTTAAACTTTAAAGGGCAGTCCTATTCTGAAGAAAAAACATCAAACAGACATTTTACTGTCTCAATGTCGTAGGCTTCTAAATAAACATGAGGTTAAATAGGCAACTGCCCTTTGTCCTTCTCCAGGCTTCCTCAGTCGATGTTATTTGAATACGTGTCGAAAGGCCCCATTAGGTGGGCCTTCCCCACACCGTTCATGTTTCTAAAACTTTACCTGGTTGCCATCTTGCAATTTTACGGAGCCCTTTAGAAATAGATGCTGAACTAATCATGATAGATTTTTGAAAAGCCTGCTTGCCGAGTTCCATCACCCCAATATGAACCCCGCTCTTTTGAAATAGAGGGTGAACTAGGCATGGTAGCTTTCCGAAGCCCTACCGCATTGTGGCATAGACATCTGTAACTAATATCATTTTCTGCAATTCGATTTCTATCGCACTTATTGTCTTCCAAGATGTATTACCTACGATGCAGTTTTATTTTTCTTTTCTTCATTCTCTAGAAAGTCAACTTGTTCTGAGCTTTTATCATCTTTATCTCACTTAATAGCCTGATTTTTTCTCTATGAATCTGTATGGTTGCAGTGAATTTTGTTGTTTAATGCATCCATTGTACAACTGATTATTATTGTTGTTCTGCAGGTTCGTTTACATCTTCTTACTGCTGTGATGAAGTGTTTCTTGAGAAGACCACCAGAGACTCAGAAAGCCTTGGGAGCTGCATTGGCTGCTGGTATTTCTGATTTTCATCAGGTTGGGCTGGATTTATTCATTTTCTGGAAAGCTTTTTTTTTTTTTTTTCCCTTTTTATATGTGGAAAGATGGAAAATCTTGACTTGAAGCTAGCTTTGCACTAGTTTGTGCAAGGATGTGTTAAAGCTTCTAGTTGAAATGCAGGATGTTCATGATCGAGCCCTATTCTACTATAGGCTTTTGCAATACAATGTATCCGTAGCAGAACAAGTGGTGGACCCTCCAAAGCAAGCTGTTTCAGTTTTTGCCGACACACAGAGTAGTGAAATCAAAGATCGCATATTTGATGAATTTAACAGTCTCTCTGTTGTATACCAGAAGGTACGTCATCTTCTAGCCTGAGATGTTAGACCCAGATAACCTCCTCTTTGATTGTTGAACGATTATGATTAGTGATTACGACTTTTAATAACAACACATTCTATGAAGAAAATGTGAAATAGGACAGTTTGAAACTTTGAACCTTAGCTGTTTCTTCCAATATTTTATGTGGCAAATGTGCTCCCCTTCTAACTTCTTACAAAGACAAATGACAGTGGGAAAATAATACATTTGATTGTTGTGGAGGACATTAAAAACTTCTACACACACATCACAAGTTTAAAAATTGTATACCAACCTTGCATCCAAGTCTGTATATAATTTGTTTTAAGTTCAAAGTTAACTGAATGGGAAAAAAAATTGCAGCCTTCGTACATGTTTACCGATAAGGAACACAGAGGACCATTTGCTTTCTCAGAAGAACTAGGGAGCTTATCTATTGGGGCAGAATCTGCAGATAACATAGTTTCATCCCAGCGAGTTGAGGCAAATGACAAGGATCTGCTTTTGAGCACTTCAGAGAAAGAAGAATCTAGAGGTCCTACTCATGGTGGTTCTGCATACAGTGCTCATATACATGATGGCTCTGTGCCCCTGGCTGCATCAGAGACTCAGTCAGAGCTTGTATCTCTAGACCAAACATTACCACTAAACGAACCTCCGGCTAGCTTTGCAATTGATGATCTACTTGGTCTTGGATTGCCAGTTGCACGTAGTTCTGTTCCTTCTCCTCCTCTGAAGCTTAATTCTAAAGCTGTTCTAGATCCAAAAAGTTTTCAGCAGAAATGGCGACAACTGCCAATATCCATATCACAGGTTGGCTTTTGAAATTACATGTTTAAGTTAACTATTTCTACCCACTGGTTACGCCTCTCTCTCTCTCTCTCATGTATGCATGTAGTTGTGCATGATTGTGTTTTTTTTGTTTTACATCTTCATGTACCTTGTTTGCTTCTGCATCATCTGAGTGTCATACGCAATGTTTTTTTACTTCTCACGAGAATATTATAACCAAACACGTTTGTGGTTTGCATTTGCATCTGCTGCATGTGGAGATTATTAATATAATACCAAGACTCAATCTAAGTCAATCAGAACTTTCTCTGGCTTGTTCCTGGAATAAGCTATTACCATACATCAATTGCTAGAGGTAATGAAGTGATCATGTTGAATCTGGTCCCTAGTCCTTGCCACTTGCCAGTTTAACAAACCTGAGTTTCTGCAGACATTAGTGATTAGGAGCTTGAAATTTTATAAAATCGCTATATCTGACAATTGATTGATGTATATATATCGTGCATCTATATGCATGGAAAATGAAATGCCCCTACCATGAACTTGTCCTATCTTCAGAATGTTTGAAATTGAGTCTGTCTGCTGACTGGTCTCTTGAAGCAAACTTGTATACATGTTTAACAAAAAAGGAAAAAAAAACATGACTTGCGCTATGTTTTCAGTGGATGATGGGAAGCTTTATATATAAAAAAAAAATGGGAAGCTTTATATAATGGCTGCTCCAATCTGCCAGACTAACGTGTTATTCTCCAGATAGACCCTTAGCAAAACAAATATTGGTAATTGCTGCTTTCTTCGCTTTTCCAGTTTAATTTTCCCAACCTACGTGAATAACATATTCTTGGAACATTGCATTAGGGATCCTGGGTGGTGCTCTCAACCACTTCAAGGAAACTACTGAGAAGCCTGTCTCTTTAATTTTCATTTTTTCTTCGTTTTAGATGATTTCCTACTATTTTTACAGAGGAGAAAGGGGTTAATTACAAGGTATCTTAAAATATAAATAGCAATGGAAGTGGAGTTCTTTTGCGAAATTGTTCATCAAGAACCATCTTTAATTAGCTGTCTTGTTGCACTGTTTAACCAGAAAGCTTCAGCTGCTTGCTACTTTTATGTTTTCTGTTTTTAAGATCCAAAATCTTTCTTGTTGAATGTATTTAGAAAGTTGATGAGCTTAGAAAACAGAAGTATTGTCTTTCTTCCCCCTTGAGCTTCAAGCATGATAAAGATTTTTGATTACTTAAAACGAAAAATAGACGAGATTTTAATCGAATTATTAACTGTTGAATTGCTACAGGTAACTCGGTTTTGCTTCATCTCTTTTCAAACAGAAAAATAAAATATGCCTATGATTTTGCTGCGACTACAAGGATGAGTTTATTTAACTTTGTAGCTTCTACATGTGTATTTATGCAGTTGCACTGGTTGGTACATATTTTTCTTCAGCTTGCCTTGAGGACATGTTTTTCTGCAAGTCTTTTAACCTCTCTGAAAAATTGAAACATTATTTCTTGGTGCCATGTATCCTAATTGTCTGATGGATCATACCTCACTTTCCTTTCCTTTCTTTTCTTCTCTCTGCTTTTCCAGGAAGGTTCCATAAACCCACAAGGAGCAGCTGCATTGATGACTCCTCAAGCCCTTCTCAAGCACATGCAAGGTCATTCTATCCACTGCATCGCTTCAGGTGGTCAAGCTCCAAATTTTAAGTTCTTCTTTTTCGCGCAAATGGCAGAGGAATCATCAGCTACCTTTCTTGTAGAGTGTATAGTCAACTCGTCATCATGTAAAGCACAAATAAAGATCAAAGCTGACGATCAGAGTACATCCCAGGCGTTCTCAGCTTTTTTTCAATCAGCATTATCAGAATTCGGTATGTCTTAATCATTTAAGCACTTGCTAGAGTGTACAAAATTTAACCTTTTGAAAGAGAACCAGATACTGTATGATGGTTCTGGTTCCACCCCGGTCGCATAAGGAGTGTCTAAAGACAATAGTTTTATTCGATCCAGTCAGATTTTTCTTCTTGTGAAACCATATTAACTCCTAATTTATTATGTGTGCGCATATTTTTGGCCAGTGAACAATAAAATTGCACTATAACAGTGAATTACTTTATTTTTGAACTGGTTGTATGTTTCATTAAATTCAGTTGATATCACGTCAGTATTATCACGTGATATCACCATCCAATAATAAAATATGAAGTGAGCAAAGTGAACTTAACTTTCTTACATTTGGCTAATTATTGTATTATATAGAGTGGTAGTTATTGATTAGTGTAGGGAACATATACCTATTTACTAAAATATAATTGAAGTAGTTATTGTCGGTGTTTGAAGACACAAAGTAATAAAAAATGGTAAACAATAAATATATTTGTATTCATATTCAAAATCAAATTATAAATATAGAGAAAAAATAAAAGAATTTAAGTATCGGTTGCGCACAAAGACACAAACACTGCACATGCACACCCAGCACACCCACCCACATGAATTGCATGCGCGCACACACACATATTGTTATTGTAATATAATTTATTATATTTTTTAATATTATTTGATTATTTATTAGTTTGTTCTTTTTTTTTTTTTGATCAAATGTTATTTTTCATTTATTATGTTATTCAATTTGCTATTATTCACTTGTTGTGATTGTTCACTTATTGTTATTCAATTATTTATTAGTTAGTTATTTGTTATTTTTTTTATCAGATGTTTGTTAAATGTAAACTATATTATGATAATAATGATTATGATATATGTTATGACATATTTAATAAATATTTTCAAATTAAACGGGTGGAAGGATAAATTTGAAAATCAATTTATTTTCAGACGCCAGCTCTATGTAGTTATTAAATAACTTAGTTCAATTCAGTACTTAAATTTTAGTGAATACTAAACGGTCCATAAATTTAGCATTCAATTTTCAGTTTTTAGACTTCAATTTTCAATTTTCAAACTTCAACTTTCAGTTTTATTAAATACCGGTGTTTAGTTGAGAGGATATGAATGCTCCGATGTAAACTGGGTTACAAGAGTGTAGCTGAAACCCAACCTTTTAGAATATTTATACCTTGAAAGGTACTGACATGGAGTTTTTTGTTGGGGTGAGCTGTTAACAGGGAACAAAATAGAGAAATTATAGGAACCATTTAATTGTGAAATTCCATTCTTCAAGGGTCAACCACGATTCTAGCCATAGACAATGTATAGCCTAGAACAGCTCCCTAAACTTCATCTCTGAATCTATATATATCTTTGTATTTAGTTCTAGAGAAATATACAATAGAAAAAATCCTTTTTTGAGATGGTAGCAGAGCATGGTCCTAGGATCTCTGCTCCACCCACTCGTTGATCAGAAAACCCCAGATCACTCAGAATCCACGGCGGAATCCTTTGATCTGATGCAACATCGCAGCCCCCAGGCTGAACCCATTCTTGACGACTGGATGACCAAGATGACAGAAGTCTTGACCAAAGCCCAGACCTCACCACACCCACAGCCTACTGATTCTTCGACTGTCCCAATTGATATTAAGTTGGATGGCTCCAACTATGCCTTATGGTCCTAGGTTGTTAAGATGTATATCTCTGGCAAAGCCAAGTTGGGATATATTAATGGAGACTCTACCCAACATCCAGATGCAGATCCATCTTTTCGAAGATGGCAAACTGAGAACACTATCGTCAAGTATGGGACCCTATTGCTACCACTTATTTTGATGGGACTGATACTTCTCAAGTATATGATCTCTGGCATCGTGTGACTCGCATGAGACAACCTGGTGGATCCATTGAAAAATATTACAATAATCTTCGAGACTTGTGGCAAAAAATTGATTTCCGTCGTCCTAACCCAATGAAATATGCTGATGACATCCAGAAATATAATTCAATCCTACAGGAAGATAGAGTTTACATCTTCCTCGCGGATTGGATGACCGGCTGGATAAGATTCAGAGTGAAGTGCTACAGTTACAACCACTAAGTTGGATCTGTGCGTCGTGTGTTGTCTTTTTTTGGGGTATGCCTTACATAAAAAAGGTTATCGGTGCTAGGTCCCCATCACCAAATGTACCTACATCACGACGGATGTTGTTTTTCTTGAGTTAGAGACTTTCTTTCCATCACCATCCAATTCATCTCTTCAGGGGGAGCTCCGAGATGAAGTGCCAAATTGGTGGGGTGCTGAATGGCCAAGATTTGAAGATAACTCGGCACAACAAAATGATGGAAACGAAATAATAGAGCCGAATGTTGAGATGTCTTCACGACTTGATATGTTTATAAGAGCCGAATCTATATCCTCGGAATCTAGAAGTGCAGAATCTAAAGAATCCTCTGGAAATGAATCCCCTCACTCCTCAATACCTGAAAACCCTTCTCCTGAGAATATTCCTGAGGTAAGCTCTCCTACCACACGTTCACATGCAAACGACTTCGATACTTTTACAGATTATGTTTTACCTTTCAGACACAATCGTGGCAAGCCACCAAATCGATACTCTTCAGACGTGGAAGAAAAGAGATCCAAGTATCTAATTGCCAACTATGTGTCTACTCAAAGATTATACGAACCTCTCAAGGCGTTTGTACATAAGCTATCCTGGTGCCATATTCCCAGTAGCGTTGAAGAAGCTTTATTAGATCCAAACTGGGCCCAAGCTATAAATGAAGTATTGGAGGCTTTTGCAGAAAAATAAAACTTGGACATTAGTCTCACTATTTGAAGGAAAGAAGATGGTGGGGTGCAAATGGGTTTTCTCCATTAAATACAAGGCTGATGGATCCAACGATCGATACAAGACAAGGCTCGTGGCAAAGGGATATACACACACATACGGCATAGATTAGCAGGAAACTTTCTCATCTGTGGGCAAACTAAATACTGCTAGAGTTTTGTTGTCTCTTGCAGCAAATTTAGACTGGCCATTGCACCAGTTTGACATAAAGAATGTCTTTCTCCATGACGATCTCGAAGAAGAGGTTTTCATGGATATTCCACTAGGGCACACTGCATCTTCAAAGGCGAAGATGCATGAATGCTGCAACAAGCTTTATACGGGTTGAAACAATCACCTTGGGCATGGTTTGGTTGATTTAGTTTAACTATGAGGAAATATGGTTTTCAACAAAGCAACTCGGATCATACCCTCTTCCTAAAACACCGATTAGGAAAAGTGACAGCTCTAATAGTCTATGTAGATGACATGATTATTACAGGATGACGCAGAAGAGATCTCTAGACTCCAAGAGCAATTTTCAACCGAATTTGAAATGAAGAATCTAGGAGGACTTAAGTATTTTATGGGAATTGAAGTAGCTAGATCAAGACAAAGCATATTTCTTTCTCAAAGAAAAGATGTGGTAAACTTGCTATCAGAATTAGGATTACTAGAGTGTAAGCCAACTGATAATCCAATTGTTCAAAATTATAAACTTGGAGAATATTCAAATCAGGTGCCAGTTGATAAAGGGAGGTACCAAAGGTTAGTTAATAAGCTCATTATTTATCTCAAACTCGCGCGGATATCGCTTACGTTGTATGTGTAGTGAGTCAATTTATGCATTGTCCTAGTGAAGATTATATGGATGCGGTAATTTAGATTCTTCGTTATTTAAAGTCCTTTCCTGGAAAAGGGTTCATGTTCTCCATGAATAATCATCTGAATGTTGATGGCTACACGGATGCTGACTGGGCAGGAAATATTTCGGATAGGAAATCCACTTCAGGCTACCTCACTTTTGTAGGAGGTAATCTTGTTACATGGAGAAGCAAGAAGCAAAAAGTAGTAGCATTATCTAGTGCTAAAGCTGAATTCTAAGGAATGGCTGAGGGTCTTTGCGAACTTCTTTGGCTTAGAAGGATGTTAACTGAGATTGGCTTTGCTCCTAGCTCTGAAATGAACTTGTTTTGTGATAACAAGGCAACCATTGACATCTCCTATAATCCCGTCCAACATGATCGTACTAAACACATTGAGGTGGATCAGCATTTCATCAAACAAAACATTTTAGGAAAAATTATTCGATTCCTTTTTGTCAAGTCAGAAGACCAGTTGGCAAACATATTCACGAAGGTAGTGTCCAGGAAAAACTTCCACAACTCACTTGACAAGTTGCACATTAGAGACATCTAGGCACCAACTTGATGGGAAGTGTTGGCGTAAGCTGTTAATAAGAAACAAAATAGAGAAATTATAGGGACCATTTAATTGTGAAATTTCATTCTTCAAGGGTCAACCACGATTCAAGCCATAGACAATGTATATCCTAGAATAGCTTCCTAAATTCTTCAAGTGTCGGCAAGTCTTGATAAATTTTTTGGAGTGAAACCCTCCCATTAGTGCTCGTGTCCTGTTCCTGAGTCATGCATCACTAGATTAATTTATTGAAATGTTTTAAATCCCAATCACTGAAACTTTTGTAAGTTGCAAATTAAATTAATATACTAAACTGGAATGACGCTCACCTGCTGCATACCTCTTTTTCAGAGTTTTGACGATTCAAGGGAAACGTTTGGGTTCAAAGATCTGTTCTAGTTAGATTGATTTCCTTTGTTGAAGTGTGAATAAATACTAATAGGACATATATGTTTCTTTATATGATTTTATAAGAACATGAGAGTTTGCAATTTGAATTTTAAAAATTGTAATGTTGGTTACAATTTGAAAAGTGTATTTATATTGTTGAGGTTAGGCATATCGAGTAAGGTAAATTCATGTCGAGTTTTAACAAATTTGTGTTAAAAAACACTCTGTCTATACTGGATTCGTTTATTAAAATTCGTGTCTAACAAATCATGTCATATCAAATTCGTATTGTATATAAACTATTTATAACTGATATATAAATGAGTCACGTTACATTGTATATTTCTTCTAATTGACTTCACTCATACACGATTTATTTTTTAATTATATCATTTACTATATGAATGGTTTAAAAAAGACAAACTCTCTCGTTTGTGTTGTGTTAACGGATCGTGTCATATTTTGATACCTTACTTATAAACACTTTGATTGCGATAGAATTGAAATTACAACAATGTCATACATAAATATTTTTTCAAAATATAAGTTAAAAATTTAAGAATGTAAAATATAACG